GATATTTTTATACTCCTCCCTGATAATTTGTCCAATCTTCCACTTCTTGTAAGCTTCTTTTTTGCGTTTAAGGTCAGCAAGGATTTCACTGTTATATATATATAGGACTATTTTTATGAAGCAGTTATAATGGGCCAACTGAGATGCAGAGGATCTAAGTGCAAAATTTTAGTCACAAGGTTCTAATAAAATGCAAAATATACAAAGAAAAATTGCATTAGTTCCATTTTACCTCTTGAAGGTTATGCAGCTTGAGATGTGCTTTTGCCTCATCTTTAGTGAGGAGGACTGTGTTCCATGGAGACCATTCACAGTGCTTATCCCATCTGACCATAACCAAATCATGGAGATCATCCCAGGCACTAAGAGCTGACTGACAACCCCAAATGTTCTCCACCATGTACTGTAGATCTTTTTGCTGTAATTGAAAGCAGGTTGAGAAGAATAACGCATGCTTAATTCTACCAGCAAGTCACCTTACCTATCCACCACTTAGGAAATGCTTTGAATTAGAATTATTTTGTGTACATGCCACAGAATAATTTTGGGTAGAGGAGGGTGAACATTTGAGTCTTCTAGCCTACCCTACTACACTATGGGGTGGCAGGATTGATTTAATTTGTCTTAGATCATCCCTAAAAATCAGATTCTAGTTTATTCTGGATTATTTCTGCTGATGGCAATTCTATATCTTCTATTGACAGGTTGCTTAATTGCTTATAATTTTAAAGTTTCTTATATTTAATCTACATTGTCCCTGCTCCTGTGTATGCTGATCCCTACTTGTTTGGTCCTTGCTTATTAATAAATATAACTGATTCTTGTCCTTTATCAGCTTCCATTATATTTGTATTTTAGAGTTCATAATTAGTTTAAATTTAATAAGTAAGTTATGGTGCCGTTCTATGTTACTGAAGTCAAATTCAGCATGCAGCCAGAATAACCTGGGCTGGAGGATTGGGAAGGGGCAAACCCAAGTAACTCAGGATGCACAATATCAAGATGCTCATCCCCTGGATAAGCATGACAGGTTTTGCACTTCTCCCTTCCCACCCCCCTGCTTCTGTCCTACAAAGAGTTAATTATTATGTTACTCATTCTCTCCATGGGATTGTGACATCCTGCGGTGGTGTTGCAGGATTTAAAAATAGCTAGTGTTTGGCTGGTTTGTACTGTAAGTTCTTTATATACAGGCCTTACATCTGATATTTTCCCCTGTAAAGTCATGATTCACCTATACTTATTTCACTTTGTTTCATTTATTACTAGCCATCTGAAATCACTACTAATTCTTTTTAAATAGTCTGTGAAGCAAAAAGTGGTTTGGGGCCATAGTTAATGTTGAACTTTGGCAAGCTTTTCTATAATACTCCATCACCAAGTTTTCTCTGCATTGGAGTAATGGAAAAACGAAGGAAGGATTTAGTCAAAAGGATTCTTTACTAGGCCAACGGACTTTGAGATAAGGCTTCTTCCATACCAAGCATGAAGTAGGTCCTTTTCCCCTTCTCCCAAAAAGAAATCTCTTGACTTTAATTAAATAATGGCATTTACATGTTAACAAATCAGATTCCTCACACGGGGGTGATTGGAATCATTCCAAGTCAATACTCTTGCAAAATGTCACATCCTATACTCTCATGCATCTTGCTTCCAAATCCAGAACCTGGTCCTGCTCCCACTGAGACCTTTGACTTGGGGGGGAAACAAAAGGGTTCTTTGAATGTGTAGGGCTTAGAATCTTTTTGCCTCTGTTGTGCTAAGGCTGTGTACCCTACTTCCCACACTACTGAGCCTTGTTAAAGCTGGTCCCACAGACCCCACTATCTTTAGCCTTCCTAAGGATGGTCTCATCTCCACCTTCACTTTCAAAATATGTTTCCTCCATTTCATAGCAAGTCCTTGAGTTATTACTGTACTTTCTGTTGAAAGTCAGACACTAGCAAGATATCAGCAAGCATCCATTCCAAGCAGTAGCTTCTTTTGATGCCACATCGCACACCAAAAATGATGCCTGAACTTGCTGTCATCTTAGTGCCACCTCTTACCATATTTATATGAGGTCCTTGTAAGTAATTTAGATTGGCAATAGTGCTTGGCTCTTCTACCTTATCAGATTAAAAATAAATCTGCTACAGATAAGTTCTGTCCTTCAAAAGAGGGGTATTTGATGTTGAAGAAAAATCATTCTGGTTATGGTGGAAAAGTTTGATCTGACAGGATGGTTTTGCTGTATTTCCTAAAGGTGGCCAGACTACGAATTAATCTATATCTAGAAGTCCATTCCATTCCACAGCTGGGTCCCTTCGACAGATTGCTTTGACCTCTACTCTGAAATGCTTTGTGATTTTAATTGTCCCAAAGAAGTGCAACTGCCTTGGTGGCTCACAGATGGAAATTCAATCTTGAATGTAGTTAGGACCTAACCTATTAATTGCTTTGAAGATTAAGATCAAGGCCTTAAACTGGCAGTGGAAGTTGACTGAAACTTAAGCAGAATGATTTTTCACATTGGAGGAACTTTGAGGTGTTCATGGTGGCTGAAACCATGGAAGAAATGGTCAGCCACATTTTGTACCAGCTAGAACTCTTTCCACTGGTTTAGAATTAAGCTTCAGAAACAACAATGTATAGAAATCCGGTCTCAAGGTGACAAATGCATCGATCACCTTGCCCAGGTCCTTGTCCAGTAGGAAGGGTTGAAGTTTCTTATCAAGCTGGCAAGGAAAGATAAGTGTAGTGCTTTTTAGTTTCTAAAATAAATAGGATGCTCTCATCCATCCTGGCATTAGAGGGAGAGAAGCTGGTGTTTTTTCCTCCTCCTCAGTCCCTTTGGAAATTTGGAGTGCTTTCTGGAGATTCCTCTGGCTAATTATATTTGTTCAGGTAATAAGACTCATTGTTACCCTCACCATCTCCTTGATGCATGTTCAGAATACTAAACAAACCTGGGTGGCAGCTGCATAAATAGTACTAGAGGAAGCACAGACTCCATATCCACAGATGCTACTGTGAAGTTCTCAAGGCTGGGCTGCCATCACTAGCTGAAGTGAGCTCCTTGCTGTCAGTCATTAAAAAGGAAGTAATGAGTGGGGGCATTTAGTGGCCACCAGTGTTCCAGGCAGAGGTAGGCATGTACCTGCCTGTTATTGCTTGTCAGCCCAAGACTTTAGCTGGGGAAATTCCACCAGTCACATGCATGAAGCAGAGATCCAAGAGTGAGAATTTGTCATAGGGCTTGGAGAACAGCCAAATTTTAAGGCAAGCAGTAATTTAGTGCCAATACAAAGAATAAAAACAATCTCTTTTTAGTATTCTTAAACAGGAAAAGTACTTAATAAGAACAAACAGAATCTGTATAATCTATTTACTTGTATAATATTTCTTAACATAGGCATTGACAATAGTAGAAGCCTAATCCTCTTCTATTATAGCTTTTTTGGTAAAGCACTACAATAAGATATGAAATATGTTTTACACACTGAAAACAGTCAGAAAGTATGCTTCTATTGTTGATACTGTAGTTTCTTAGTGCCAAACCCCTGAGAAAATTCTGCTAATCTTGGGCTTTTGGATTACTTTAGATAAACTGTGCTTTGAGAGTACCTAATAATTTAAATACTGACAACTAAGATTTTTTTTAAAACAAAAGCTTGTGTGTGTGTGTGAATGAGGAGGTTGTTCCAAATGTTAACATGTTCATTGATTAATCACATAATTGCCAAGGATTATAGAAGATACTAAATAGTTTAGAAAAGTGAAACTAACTTTAGTAAATCTTAATTCTAACAAATACTGCAAAATAAAATAAAAAAATCCAGAAACCTCTAGCTACAAATCTTCTACTAACTGTAAGATTGAAGGCTCAAAACTGGACTTCTCTGCTTTTTCCTTACCCAAGAACTCAATAGAAGACTTTAGTAATTTTAATAAAATAAATAATACTTTGTATTTCTATAACAGCTTCCATCCGAGGATCTCAAAGTGCTTAACAAATATTAATACTCAGAACACCATTACAAATTATCGTTATTTTATATATGATACAGTGGCATAGTAAGTTAAGTGACTTTCTTGGCATCACAGAGGCAGTCTGTTGCAAAGCTAAGAATAAATTCAGATCGCCTGACTCCTGATCCTGTTCTTAGACCCTCCTTCGTCTTTCCTGTTTTTATTATTTTACAATCACTTTTGAAAGTCTAACCATACTTTAAGATAGTAAGAGTGTTCCTTTGTGTTCATCTATTCAAGAGAGAACCATTTGTTCCATATCGTAGGGAGACATGTATGTAGTTTTTAGTTATCACTGTCTAAAATTAAAACTACCACCCTATGTAACAACTTAGACCAGTTGCTGCTAGCATCAGTGATATATACACAGAAACAGGAAAAAATGGTGCTCAACACAAACACATTAATATTCACTAACAACACTATTCTTTCACACAGTACCTGAACTACATAAACGATTTTAGCATCATCCTGGTAATCAGCTTCAGATTTTCTGAGATTTTTTAGCATAAGCTTGTATTTCAAAAAGGCTTCTCGACGCCGGGCCTCATTATCGAGCTTGCAACAACGGCGACACCTGCCGACAGTGCGTGAATTAGCAGGCACAGAGAATTCAGTAGAGGGCAAGTAACTTTTGCAACCACGACAGAAGTAAATGTTTTTATAAAGCTTTAATGGATCTGGTGGAACCTGCAGAAGGATGATAAGAAAGATGCTCTAATATAAGATATATATATATACACTGAATGTCTTCCTATTAAATGAGTGAGGTTTTAACATTACCAAGAACATATAATGCCTTACAGTACACAATACACCTATTGGCTAATTTTGCTAAGGTTTTACATGCAACTTGATGGCATTTCTCTGTCTGTACATAGCGCAATAACTTTTGAATGCCGCATTCGATCAATTCCCAAGTCTCAGGGAACGTTCTAGACATCACTGGCCAATATCCTATTGATTTGGTGGAGAATCAGAAAACCTAAATGGAAAAAACGGGGGACACATGGAGACCTGCCACCTGATTATCCCAGTCACAGCTTCATTGTCTATAGATCAAAAAACTGATGCCACCCATTAACACCTTCCAACAACTCCTCTATCTCATTTCTGCCTATCCTCTCAATATTTTAAAGTGTTGACACCTTGAATGACTTATCTCATAGACAAAAAGATTAATAAGAGGCAGAGAACAATCGGGGGCACTGGACAATGCATGTGTACACATGGCCACTGGCATGCGGGGGAGAGAGAGAAAGGGGAAACCTGGTATAGAAGGGAGGAGGGAAAGGGAAGACACAGAACCTTTGATGGGGTAGACACTGGGGAATCCTGGCATGTGGCAGAGGACAGAATGAAGAGCACATCAAGCCGCAGGCATGATAAGGTGAAGTTGCAGGGAGTCCCTGAAATAGATGGAGATGGGAGAGTGGCATAAAGGAGCTTGTTGGGTGGAATGGAGGAATGCAAGGAGCATTTCGAGTCTGCAATAAGCTCGGCCCACACAAACGACTAAGTGAGCAACACTTAATATTAAACATGCCTTTAAGTTTCAAAAGCCAGCAATACTTATCTGAAATTTAAAAAAATCAGTTTAGCTATTTTTAAACATCTTTTGCATCTATTGTATTTATTAAAAATATTTAAAGAACAAAACAACTGATTTTGTAGGACTAGATTAAAACCTCAGCTATTATGGTCCAAAGCAGAGGTGGGAAAACTTTTTGGCCTGAGGGCCACATCTGGGTGGAGAAAATGTATGCAGGGCCATGAATATAGGGTTTGAGCAGGGGTTTGGGAGGGAGTGCCGGGTGCAGGAGGGGGCTCAGGGCAGAGGGTGGGGGTGCAGGAGGGGGCAGGGTGTGGCAGGGAGCTCAGGGCAGAGGGTTGGGGTGCGTCAGGGGGCTCAAGGCAGGGGATTATGGGGCTCAGGGCAGGGGGGTGGGGTGCGGGGTGCAGGACGGGTTTGGGGTGCGGGCTCTGGGCCGAAACTGCTTACCTCGAGTGGCTCTGGGGTGGCAATGGCATGCAGCGGGGTTAAGGCTCCCTGCCTGCCCTGGCCCTGCCCCATTCCCAAAAGTGGCTAGCATGTATGGCAGTGGCTCCTGGGGATGGGGTGGGGTGGGGTGGGGCAGGCAGCTCTGCTGTGCGCTGCCCTTGCCTGCGGGTACCACCCCCAAAGCTCTCATTGGCCGCGGTTTCCCGTTCCCAGCCAATGGGAGCTGCGGGGGTCGGTGCCTGCAGGCGAGGGCAGCGCACGGAGCCCTCTGCCCCCCTCCCCCTCCCGGGGCCGCAGGGATGTGGTGCTGGCCGTTCTGGGACTGGGGCCAGGGCAGGCAGGGAGCCTGCTTTAACCCCGCTGCGCCATGGGGCTGGTAATCCCGCGGGCCAGATTGAAAGCCCTGACGGGCCTGATCCAGCCTGTGGGCCGTATTTTGCCCTCCCCTGTTCCAAAGCAATTACTACTAATTGTATGCAACCAGATACTAAGCAACTGTAGAAATACAACTGAATGGGGAAAAACAGCAAAACAGCACTGCTGTAAATCACCATGTAATCTATCAAATGCAATGTGTCACATGAATCAAAAGATAAAAGCTAAGATTATATGAAACATGCAGAGGGGAAGAAAAAACGGTTACCTATCTCTCGTAACTATTGTTCTCTGAGATGTGTTGCTCATGTCCATTCCATTCTAGGTGTGTGTACGCCCACGTGCACAATCGTTGGAGATTTTTGCCTTGACAGTATCCATAGGGTCAGCAGTGGCACCCTCTGGAGTGCTGTGCTCATGCATCGGTATATTAGGCACTGCCAGCCCTACACCCTCTAAGTTCCTTCTTGCCGTCAACTCCGACAGAGGGGTAGGAGGGCAGGTAATGGAATGGACATGAGCAACACATCTTGAAGAACAAGTTATGAAAGGTAGGTAACCATTTTTGTTTCTTCAAGTGCTTGCTCATATCGATTCCATTCTAGATGACTCACAAGTAGTATCCCCGGAGGTGGGCTTGGAGTTCATGATCATTTGGCTTGCAACATTGTTATACTGAAGCCAGCATCATCTCGGGCCTGCTGGGTAAATGCGTAATGAGATGAAAACATGTGGATGGAAGACTAGGTAGCAGCCCTGCAGATATCCTGGATTGCCACCTGCCTTGCCTTACGAAATGGCTTGGTCCTTTCGATGTAGAACGCTAGCACCCTCCTGATGTCCAGAGAGCACAATCTGTGCTCCTCCTACGACTTATGAGGTTTTGGAAAGAAGAAAGGAAAATATATGTCCTGGCCCATCTGAAACTGTGAAACCACTTTGGGCAGAAAAGTCGGGTGCAGACACAGCTGAACCTTGTCCTTGTAGAATACCGTATAGGGCAGCTCCGGGGTAAGAGTAATCTCAGAGACTCTGTGGGCAGATGTTATTGCAACCAGGAATGCAAGATAGGTCATGTGAGATATCATTGAAAAGGTTATGATTTACTGAATATTATTATCCTATTTGTATGCATGTATCATTTTGGTATCTGAAGTTAGGAATATTGTCTATGCATCTACTACAAATGTGGTTACACCTGGGGACCACCCACTAGGCAGAATGCCATCAGTCTAGATGGCTGGCTGGGAAGGGCCATTAGGAAGAACAATAGGTTTTAGAAGAAGCTAATTTCCCACCGGGAAGCCTTCCTGAGCCTGCTACAAACAGCCTCCGAGTCATGGCTGCTGTGACCCTACAGGGACATGTGACCAAGTCACCTGGTACTGGACTCCATCTTGAAATACCACTGTTTTTCCACTGACCGGACATGGGAACCAAGCTTGGAGACAAAGAGTTCCTGCCATATGCAAAAGCTATTTAAGGCAGGGGAGTGACATCATTGTGGTTCTTCACTGACTCCCCACCCAAAGAGATTCTTGGAAACACCTGGGGTACAATGACTGGACTAGTGGAGAAGGGTTGGACCCAGCCTAGAGGAATTTCTAGCCTGTGAAAGGAATACCCGGGGTTTTTAAGCTGCAAGCAAGTGCAGCTGGCCCCTCAAGAATCTTTGCAAACTGCCTAAATCAGCAATTAGGGTGAGAATTTGCTACTCATATCTAATCTCTTTGTATATTAAGCTTAGATTACCTAGCAAATAAACAAAAATGCAATCTGCTTTTGTCTGTTTGCTATGATTTATAATCACTTAAAATGTATCTTTTGTAGTTAATAAACTTGTTTTTGTTTTGTCTAAAACCAGTGTGTGGAAATCTTGGGGAAGAAAGCTGTGACATCTCTCTCTCCACATTGAGGGAGAGGGCAAACTTGATGAGCTTACGGTGTACGGTCCTCTGTGCAGCGCAAGACGGTATAATTTTGGGCTTGCCCTCTAGAGGGGGTGTGCACCTGTGAAGCTGGTAAGTGCCCTAGCTGTATAGCCTTCCCATGCAGAGGCTGGCCAGAAAGCCTGTCTGCATGTTACTATAGCTGGGTGTGTCCCTACCTATGTGCTGGTGAAAGTGTGAGACCAGGAGCGTGTCTGTAGCTTGCCACAGCATTACTGGGGGAGTGGGAGCCCAGGCTAGTGGGTCGGTGGGTTCAGTGGTCTCCAGTTCCAGGTCGCACCCCTCACGGGCAGTAAGAAGGAACTGAGACGGTGTAGGGCCAGGGGTGCCTAATATTCCGATGCATGAGCACAGCACTCCAGAGGGCACCACTAACGACCCTACAGATACTGCTATGGCAAAAATCTCAGATGACTGTGCACATGGGCGCGCACACCTAGAATGGAATCGACATGAGCAAGCACTCAAAGAAGAAAATAAAGATGTCACATGTGCTTCTTCACTCTCACCATACTCTGCAGGACCAGTGGGGATATGGTATGGACAGGGGCCAGGCCCAGATCTCTAATTGGGCTACTTTCATCAGCTTGGCAAGTCAGTCCCTATGTTTGGCCAGCTGACATTTTGAATGTGCTCCTCTGCTTGTCTCCACTGCCTGGCTGCCATTTAGCAGCCATCCTGGTTGTGATGATGTCTGTACCACAGGTCAATTAGAAGGCCTGTGGCACCAAATACAACCTGATTCCTCAGAAGAGACAGATCTCACTCCCCACCCTCAAGTCTTGGCTATGACTGAGCTGCCATCTGCCCTGACTAACACAAAGTTACTGCCTCCAGGTCCCATGTCCCTACTCCCTGCTGCTGCATAGCCACTACATGCTGGTTACTGATACCCCGTCACAGCTTACTGGGTCCCCCTACCCAACAAATCTCCAAGGGATTCAACTAGCTGCTGTTGGTCAGTACTGGTTGCTAAGTAAAACAAGTCCACCTGAATGCCTGCAAGAAGGCAGAAAGCAGATATAAAGAGCAGGAACAGCACCAATACCACCCTAGAAGCACAAGAGGAGCAATTGTATAGACAGCAACCTGAGCCCCACCCAGGGGAAGGTGAGCAAGCCAGGCCCAGTGAAGCATCATACCCCACACAAGGCAAATTGAGCCTAATGAAGTCTGGGGGCATCCAAGACCCACTGAGGAGAAGCCAAGTTCAGCGAAGCATCTGTGTCAAACGGTTGAAGCTTTTAATCCAGACTTTAGTCTAAGTGGGAAGTGGAGCCGGTTGCTTAGATTGATTGTTCACTAGCTTCTTCACCACTCCCTAGCTGTGGCCCCTTTTCATGAGAGAATCATGGGTCATACAGTTTTAACAGAGGGGTGGAGGTGGCTGTGTTGTGTTGGAACTATCCAGTATAGGCACTTTTCCCATTCGTGCATCCAACTATGGTATTTCCACAGCATTGCTCCACTACATCCTATTTACCAAGGAGCCCGGAAGATAAGGATCTTAGACTATGTCTTGTTGGTTAATGAATCAATTGTTTCACTGAATGAGTATTGCCTCTAATGGCATGGTAAGTATATTAATTTGTACATATATTTATGTGGTCATAAGCCTTATCAAACATCTTTAATTTTGTACAATATACAGTTTTTGAGAATACTATTATAGAAGCACACAACTAAGTCTCTTGGTCAGGCTTTCATTATATCCCACTTTGACTATTGCAATCTTTTCCTTCTTTAGCCTCCGTAAAACTCTCATTTCCCCTCTCTCGTCCAAACAAAACGCTGCAGTGAAAGTCATCTTCCTGCTAACCATTTTAAT